AGGCGCTGGCCTTCGAGTCGCAGGGCGCCCGGTGGACGGGCAGCGTACAAACGCTGGCCTGGGCCGCGGCCGGCGAGGGCACGGCCGGGTTCGGCATGCTGGCCGAGGGGACGCTGCTGCATGTGGCCGGTACGGGCTGCGAGGGCGGCCGCCCGGTCGAGGACGAGGGCCGAAGGTGGCTGGGGGTCGAGCTGCCGGCCGAGACCGAGACCGATACCGAGACCGGGACCGAGATTGTGATCGAAGCCAAGACCAAGACTGAGATCGAGCCCCCCCTGTGCCTGGAGGTGGTGACCAGTCCGCTGGAGGGCTTCCCCGAGGGCCGGGCCGCCGTGAGCCAGGCCCTGTACCAGACGCTGCGCGCCCGCCTCCCCGACAGCATGGACCTCTTTTTGCAATCTCACGACCAGCCGCTGGTGCTATTGTGCGTGCCTTTTTTCCCTCTCACCAGGCAAGTGCCCAGCGCTGACGCCCCCCCCCCCCCAGCCCCGACCCGAACCCGCGGTCCAGCCTGTCGGATGGGCAGCTGATCGTCGGCCGGGGGGACGTCGGCCGGATCTTCGGCCACCGGCGGGTCCTCTGGGCCGGGGCCCGGGCCTCGCCCACGCATGTGTTCCAGGTGGACCTGCACCTGGCCCTCGCCGGGGGGCCGCCGGTGAGCTGCGTCGTGCAGTCGCTGGCCCTCGGGGCGTTCCTCCAGCTGCTGGATCAGTCGGTGATCTTCCTGGGCCAGGTGCGCGGGGTCCTCCTCCTGGGGGGGGGGGTTCATGGCGGCAGGGCCCGGACTGACTTGCCTGCCGGTGGCGGTGTCCGGCTGCAGGTGTGCCACTTCCCGGCCGGGGGCACGATCCTGCGCGGTCGAGTGGCGCGGCTGCTGGACACGGGCCTGCGCCCGGTGCGCGCCGGGTACCTGGACAATGGGCATGCCCCGGTGTTTGTGCACATGAGTGTCCCGGGCCGGGGGTTCCGCGTGGTGGGCCAGCCGGAGTCGGTGCTGCTGCCGGTGCCGCGGCTGGCGGAGCCCATCCGCCTGCCGGTGACCACCCGCCAGTTCGCGGTGTACATCGAGGCGGAGTCGGCCCAGGTGCCGGAGGCCACCTTCCTGGCGCTGCAGCGGCACTTCCTGGTGGCCGGGCCGGCGATCTTCATCAACCAGGACTACCGACTGGTGTGCGTTCTGCCTCGCGGGGCCGGGCCGACTCGCGCGCGCGCGCGCGCGCACAGAGCACTGACCCTGCGTGTGGCTGGGCCGGCCGCGTGGCCGGCCGCCAGGCCGAAGCTCAAGTATGGCCTGGACCTGGAGCCGCATCATGTCCTGGTGGGCGTGGGGTTGCGGCGGGACAAGCGCCGGCCGCTGGTCCTGCGGTACTGCCAGCCGCCGGACCTGCTGCTTGCCAAGTGCTGCGCCGTGCCGAAGGAGCAGCAGCAGCAGCCCCCGGCGGCGGTCGACCCGGGGGTGCTGACGCGCCTCCTGCACCGGTCCCTCCCCGAGGACCGGGCCATCATCAAGGGCCGGGTACGTCGGCCGGTGTGCCTGGCGCATGCGGGCCTTTTAGCAGCGCGTGTGCACAGCATGTGTTTTTTTTCCGCTTGCCGGACATGTGTCCATGGGCGCATTTGCGTGTGCACGGCTGCCTGCACGGCTGCCTACGCACGTGTCTGCACGGTCGCCTGCACGGCTGCCTGCACGGTCGCCTGCACGGTCGCCTGCACGGCTGCCTGCACGGTCGCCTGCACGGTCGCCTGCACGGCTGCCTGCACGGCTGCCTGCACGGCTGCCTGCACGGCTGCCTGCACATGCACACGCACACGCACACGCACACGCACACGCACACGCACACGCACGCTCGCCCCTCCCCCCACCCCCCCCACACACACATACATACATCGATACATCCATTCGCCACACCAAGCACTGTGCTAATGCCCACCGGCCGCCCAGCTGTATGACACGGAGCCGGGATCGCCGGACTTCTTCCTCCTGCCCAACTGGCTGGGAGCCGAAGGCCACGCGTCGGTGGCGATTGGCACCCTGGTGCCGGGGCTGACGCGGCTCTTTTTCGAAACGACCAACACGCGGCTGGCCCCGAAGCCGCCGCCGGCCCTGGCCGTGCACTGCGGCCAGCGCCTGCTGCTGCTGGACCTGGCCCTCGTCCGGACCGGGTCTCCCCTGTACCCGGGGCTGATGCTGCCGCGGGAGGTGTTCCAGTCGGCGGCCGAGTCGCTGGGGGGCGCGGCGCCGCCGGCGTGTCTCTTCTTCGTGTGCCACGGGCGGGCCTTCGTGGCGCGGCTGGCCGAAGTGCACGATGTGCCCGGGGTGGCGCGGGTGTGCGAGGACCTGCACGAGCACCTCCGGCCCGGGGGGGCCCTGCTGGCGCATGTGTCCCGGCTGCCGGAGCCCATTGGCCTGGGCACGGTGTACCTGCGCGTGTCGCCGGCGGTCGGCCAGCAGGGGGCCGGCTCGCTGGCGGAGCCGCGCCCAATGCAGGAGGCCCTCCTGGAGGAGGCCCTAGCCATGGCCTTCCCCGACCGGAGCATGGCCCTGCTGGAGCGACGGCCCTTCGGCCGGTGCATCCTCATGCCGGAGCTGCTGCTGGACACCGACGGCCAGGAGGTCGCCTGCGGGCTCTTCCGGCCGGGCGAGACGCGCGTGCACTTCCACTTCGCGGGGGCCGCCCGGGGGGGGCCATGAGGCGGCCGCACACGGGGGCGCCCCCGGCCGGCGCCCAAGCCAGCCGCGCCATCTGTCCGGGCCACGCGCACGCACCCCCACACAAACACCAATAAAGACTCCCCCCCCCCCCCCTGGCGGGAGGGTGAATGCCCATGCGGCGGCGGTTGTCCAATGTGCGCCGGGCTATTTTCAGAGTGCCGGGCCGGCCGGCGGCGCCCGGGCCACGCACGGTCCCCCCCCGGGGTCAGGCGGCGGCATGTGCACGCGCGCGGGGCTCCGGCCGGCGGGGGGGGG